AAACTAATTGAACATTGGACCTGTAAGTACTACTACCAAGAAGACTTTTCGGTCATAGGGAAATTTGTCAAAAATAATTATTATATTCATTTTTACATTATTAGACAACAATGTCTCCTCGATCATTGCCAAAGTAGGAAAACTCATGTTATAACTGAATTACTTTTACGACAAGTTCATTGTCAACTTAATGACAAAGAAACAGCGTGAACTCCTCAGATTCTTTTGAAAAATATTTAAGACTATTACGTTAACACGATTTCATAAGCAAAAAAAATAACTGGTATGAGCTATAGACATTCACCCTTCCTCAGTGCCAATTAGTAAATATATCCTTAATTTCGAGATTCTTAAAATTAAATTGCACAAGACAGTGTTCAGATTTTATCGTCAACCAAGTATTTTACGTTGAAACTACACCATATTCTAGAAGATAACGACGAGGTAAATATTTCAAATTGCATCTCACAGTTCGTTTTATAGGTGCTGTATAAATGCTACTGGATATGGAACATTACTCCAACTGATGAGCGATTCGAGCAATTTAAGCGTGAGATTGGTGCAGAAGAATGTTTTCGTTTTTCCCAAGTAACGAAGTCATAAAATCCATAATTATCCAGTCTGACGGAGTTTTCAGATTAGCTAAGGAAGTGAAAGGTTGTACGTTTACGGATCGTTTCCACGGTGTTTTTCCACTTGTGATTGTTTATGTTGATAGCTGCCGACACCCAAACACTGACTCATGTAATCTGTATACAGCATGGCGGTTCCCTCTACCATACAAGGCCGACTCGATGCATTGTAGCTGCACCATTGTTCTTTGCATTGCACCGATCATTTTTATCTGACTCCCTTTGTTAATTATTTATAAAATTGAATCTTTTTCTACAAACAGATCAAAATCTGTAAACATGTAAACAAAGGCTATATTTGTGGCTACTACGCCACAAATATAGCATTGGGTTCGGAATACTAGATGCAATGGTGTACTAGATTATCTTTTACGTCTCAAAGCGTTATATTTCTAATGTTTATTTACTTTGCCAGAAATAACCGCATCTAGTGTTGCCTCATTCAGCAATACATAAATCTTTCTATCAAAAATTCTTGGTCACACTCAGCACAGAAATGTTTGCGGGATTACCCTCTTAGAGAAAGACATGTCATTCCTAGCACGATAACCTTTCATTGTTGCTCCTTAACCCTTATTGTTGGTATAACGATTTGTCATACTTTTAATTGATAACTGAGAGAGTGCCTCCATTTCATTCCATTCTTTTCTATGTAAATCACGAGGATTGCTTTTTTTCAGCAGATAGCGGAATTGTATTTATATTTCCCGCCTTCTTGTAGAGTTTCTCGAATATAATTACTCATAACCGTTGAATATGACTTTGGCGAGCTCCTCCTCGTACTGTCAGTTGTTTCTCCAATTTGGTTCCTCCTTTTCTTTAGCACTGTTTGGCCTCTTTGCGATTCAGAACTGCGCATTTGGATATACTTAAAAGTTTACAACAATGCGTTTTCTGGCGTTTAATCGGATACATTTCTTGCTTATTTCTGAAAAGAACATGCATTGTGAAATTAATTTCTTTCTTGTACAGTATTCCTCAACAGTCACTATTCATCATCCCTATAGTCTCTTTAAGACTACGTACAGTACTAGTAAATCTTCTTCACAGGGTAAATGACTACTTCTTGACTGCTTTCTTGGCCATACGTTCAAAAACATATTGTACATAACTATTGTAGTAAGTTGTTTGTAAACGCAACGAGTTTTGTTGTAGTTTTTCCTACAATTGCAGTCAGGCCTTGCATGGAGTCATCGAGGACACATGTGGTAAGCTATTGAGTCAGAGTGAGTCACTTAGCACGTGTTTATGTTTATCTCAGAACAGTACACACACAAAACACAGATTCTAAAGAGTAAAATGAGTTTTTTTACCGTCGTAAATATTTTTTCGAGCAGCTCATTACATCATCCTGCAATACCTGTAGGGAGGTTCCAATTTAAGTTTCATAAAATATTCTTGGATCGAAATTAGTGTAATGTTGCTGGTACAGTACCGTGTACATGTCTTCAATCTGATCGGTTACAATGTCACTAATTATGAAATATACCTTATCTTTAGTCGCAATGTATATTTTACATTTCACTGGGCTATTGCTTATTTTTACAAAGAGTGGTCGTTCAGGGGGGATGAAATGCAGAAATCACGTATCTTGCCACAGCATGAAACCCTTGGAATGGTATAATTATAATAGTATAACACCAAAATCATTATACTTATGATGTATTATCTTGGTTTTTGACAACAAAATGATAGATTTAAAATGTATCGAAGAGATATATGAATAAATAAGCAGCAAGTATCGATGGTAATGTCATATTTAGACAATTGAAAGATAACTATCTGATTGAACTGATGGAAACTTTAGAATGATGAATGGATCTAAATGCAATACGCCACTTTCAATTCAATTCAATTCAAACAATTTTATTCATGCAATTTTTAAATTAAATACATAATCCCATGTGCCATGCAAAGCACGCATGAAAAGCACTTTGGCTTGTCAAAATTCGTCAAAAGTTTGGGTCTGCTATTGGATTGCCACAGACAAAGTCCCAGTAGGTGTCCCGTCTGGAGGCGTTGGCGTCTAGAATTATCTCGTTCCTTGTCAAATTCGAAATGGGCAAACTGTCCCCACGTCACCAGCACCAACCACTCGCATTGGGCGGAATAACATTTAGAAGCTCTGCCTCAGAGATCTTTAATTATGTCACATTTCAAGAACATTTGAATAACATTAATCAACTTAACTGCTTCCCAAACGTCAGCGATGGAATCAAATGTAATTATTTTCTGGCTGTTCAGCTGTTGGTACACGGTGTTAGAAAGTTTTACAAAAAAACCTTATCGTCCAGCCTTCAATGTGTACTGTTGTGATTCTATTCGCATTTTTAAGTAGTGGTGTTTTAGGTAGTTGTACAAACGATTACCTGCTACAATTTAATTGTTGAGTTTAGAGAATGTTTCTTTTTAAACTCCTTATTCATTTGAAACTAGTATATACTCAGAAAAGGAAGATTCCCAGTATGTGATGTTGTATTTAAAAACGTAGTGAATATATGTCAGGAATATATTTTACAAGGTATTCTTGTGAAACACAAATTGTGTCCGGGATCGACGGTAACTGCCTCGCACTTAACATAAACATATCCATAAGACAGACATCTGCATTCAACAACTTTAAATTGTTTACACAATTTCATGCCACTATTAAGAGGCAGAGTCATCTGCATGACAACACAAATTTGAACCATCAGCGATGCCTCTGTGTCCCTTTAAACAGGACCTGGAGTTTAAATGTCTACTTGCGTGTGAGGGACGGAGGTGGTTTCACGGTGGACGGTCTTGGTCCGGTCCCTTGACCGCAGCGGCCACCGGAGACCCGTGTTTTTAACTGTTAAAGGGAGGAAGATGCCTCGCCACATCCGTGGATGAGGTGTCGTCTTCCGGGCGATCACTTCCCACGTCCTGCTGCTTTCGGATCGCGATTCTCAAGTAGGCCAAGTTAGTAAAGATGCTTCTGATTTTAGCAAATTTCCCTTCTAGGGTATAAGATATTACTGTAGTTGGCACGGTTAGTGTGTGTGTATGTGCGTGAGTACGATAACTCCGAGTAATTTTGGTCCGATTTTGGTGATATTTTGTATGAATGTAAGGACCTGATAAACCAGAATGAGTTCGCAATCCAACACGATTGGGATGTATATGTATTAGATGTATCGTAGGTTGTGGGGTTTTGGAGTTATTCAAAAATAATCTTTTCTTGAATTTTCTCCCTTAAATGTGAAAATTTCTAATTTGTATTTTGTTTATCAAAGCGTTGTGCGATTAAAATATGGAAAAACACAATTAACACAAGTTTTTATGTCATTATTAAGGAGACCAATTGAACTGTTGTAGTTAGTTTTTTTTATAAATAATTTGTTCAAATTCGGCTTTTTTATTTAATACTATATTTTTAAAATTATTTTTAAACATCTAAGATTGTAAGCGCCAATATTCCTTACAATATTCATTTTTTTTACATTCTAAAACAAATTATGAAGGTTATTGTTTTCATACTATATAACATTGCTTTCGGTTAATCACTCATCACTTCTTCCAAAGTGTTGTCCAGTTGGTCGTTGTAGTACGTGGTGCCCCATGAGCGTTTATAATCTGTGTTGAGGGAGTCCAGTTCGGAGTCAGTTGATCAAAATGTGCACCTATTCGTATAGTTGGTTGCTTTTATGTGGATTCCAAAAATACATCTACAATTTCTTTTAACGTCTAACCAACAATGTTTATATGGATCGGTTTCAATTGAAATTTTATTTGAAAATCACTGTAAACCATTAGGTTATAAGCATTTTACGTGTTGAGATTTACGTAGCGAACTCGTAGAATACGTATGCCAGGTGGCCGCCGTATGGCATATGCCCAGCACATGCGGCAATGCGCTTTGGCGGTCGAGGAAGTGACCATGCAGGAGCTGCATACAGAATGCACTTGGCTGTTGCACAACTGCATCTGCCTGCCACGGTCACTGCCGCATTCCTAACCCACTTCATCCCGCGACTAGCAACTTGTCATTTGGCACCAGCTCTTCTCTTACATGCATTCGCTTCGGTATTAAGCCTTCAACGATGTTTGAAACACTGAATTAGCATTATGAGTAGTTGTTTTTATCCATAAAGGGATGAATGCAAAATCTTCCTTTTTTAGACCGGCGGAGGTTTACACGTCTAGTCGTATTCCATTCTCATTTGACATATTCTTGCATGTCCGGAAATGCCCTTTCTCACACAGTTGTACGTGTCGACTTTCGCTTTAAGTTATGTATTTCCCATTCCATGTCTTACACCGTACTTAAAATATGATGTATCATTTCTCCATTAAGAGCAAATGTACCTATAATTGCCTCCCTCTACACTGTGGTGCTTGTTGTAGGCAAGCCCCCCGCAAGGTCGGAGGCAGGATGGACCCCCAGGCTGACATGAAGGGTGCCGCCCCCAAGCCCTCCGTGTGTCGTCGGCTGTTCCCCGAGGATGAACCCGACGGCATGATGGACAACATGTTCAACAAGATCACTGAGGAGATCAACCGCAAACTGGACGAAGCCTGCAATAAGGTAAATACATTGATCATAGATGGATGAGAATGGAATAGGTGGGAATTTTTCGTGATGACAAAATAGGGCTCCATTTGACTAATCCATCTGTGCCATTGATGCTTCACAACACTTTGCCTGTTTTGTGTGTCTTTCATTTTTTACGTAATGTTAGGAATAAACAATTTAATTAAGTGTGATAGATTTTTGCATATTGGGATGAAAACAAAAAGGTATCCTTAAGTTTCATCTAAAAACCATTTTACAGTTCAAAAACAGTATCAAGATGACCGTTTCTTTAATTTTTTTAGGCCAAATAGTCTGATAAATAAGGCAGGCATAAATTAATTGTACATTACAGCTAACTTGACCTCATCGAAATGTAATATCTTGGGCTCCTTACAGTTAGTCAATGACTACAGACACTGAGCCCTTGCTATTGCTGTTGATCAAGAAGTTCAGGGATTACAACGGGTTTGGGTTTGACGTGGAAGTGGTTTAGCCAATGTATGTCTAAAGCTTATATACTTGTTGAACTGTTTTCAGTACAACTTTGACTTCCGCTCCGAAGTGCCGCTGGAGGGAGACTGGAAGTGGAAGCGTCTGTCACCTGAGGGTGAGGACGACGCCACGGAGTGGGTGGAGCCCCCCGCCACAGAGGTGGAGGTACCCGAGGGGTCGACAGTGACGTCACAGCCCCCAACAGCCTCTTCAGACACCCAGGCACCCTCTACAGTTCCTCAATGATCCAATAGTTTAAGACGTGCAATACTAGGCTGTTATATATTTCAAATGTTTATGTGTGTTTCGACAAATAAAGACTGTTTACTTAGAGTTTAAAAAGTATTTATAGCGAGTGAAAGTATTTAATTTATTATACTAAATAGATTAGATTTGTACTAGATGATTTTATTAATTTATTAATTTTGTATTGTTATTGATTGGTTGTGACTGGAGCTAGATGTGATCAGAGATTTTTCTTTTTTAACTGTTTTCTTTGTTCGTACTCTATCTATGTGTTTTGTAATAAATTACAATTTAGTAATTTGTTTGTAGCAGAGGCATTTATTTTTTTGCGATAATTTACAGCATATCGGAATTTTTCTAAACGAAATCTGATAGTTTTACATAATCTTATACAACTTTGTGTAGTTGAGTTCTAGGCGGAATAGGATTTTGATGAGATGACGATCTGCTATGTGATCTAACTAGATTTAGCGAGCAAAATTATCATAATTATTCCATGTTTTTGTAACAATATTGATTCGGATTTCAATGTTGAGGTGTCACAATGTAGCGAATTACCACGTAATTCGACAAGATGAAAATACTAATCACTGTTCTAATAGATATTCGTATTGGCTTAATAAAACAATATACAGTACTATATCGTCTGACGTCTAACGAAGACGTCCTTGAAATGTGATATAAAATATTAAGCACTGTAGAAATATACAGCACGGAATCAAACATGTGATGGTAATAAGAGTTTGCTTATAGAAAGTGTAAAAGTTATAACGAAAAGCTCACGGATAGAAAGAACAACACAGTAGGATAGAGCCAAAGCCAAAGCGGTATAGTTTGGTTTGTAAATGGAATGTAGAAGATATATGTATAGTGTACATAATGTAATAATCTTACAATGGTGACTTAGGTTACCCCTTCTAAAACAGCTAACAATCCAAAGTCAAGAGTTTCAAATTTGTATTTATTCTCGGTGTAGATACAAATTAAATGTTTAATTGCACATAATGTACCGAGCTAGCTTCATGTACGTGGTTTATGTGTGAATGTAACATATTAAATGTCTTTAATTGTCTACTGTGTCGTTTAATTGATATTCCTATCCACTCGTTCAATATTTAAAGGTAACATTCAAAGAGCATAGAAAGTCATACAATTCTGTTCTTGTTAACATTGAAGCATTATAGCGTTGAACACAGAGAGCTCAGCCTGGTAACACATGATGAAAGTGGGTCAGTCAGTAAAAACCGGGCCCGAAAACTATATAACTACTAAAAGGGTAAGCTAGAATGATATATAAATAGAAGTTCTGAGGTTTTAAACATACAGTTTTTATTTTATTATTTGTTTATTTATATACTCTATTATAAATGGAAATAATAGAATACTGAATAGTTAATAAGATGCTGGTAATTTTATATACTTCAAAATAACGTTCCGCATAACAATATAATCGCTCAAAGCTCTGGATATAACTGTACACCTGATCTGCACGACGAATTTGTTATATGCCCCACCAGGTCATACAAGGCCCCCTCATACAGGGGAGTAGAGAGTTAATGTTATTCTTGTAAAATAGGATATTACTTTACTAGTCCACAAAATATCTGTTTCTGAACACATTAAATATGCGTAGTTGAAAACAAAGAGTAATACTGTAGCATATGCTAATTAGCAAACTAATACACAATCTAAATACAGTACAAAGGAAAAAACATTCAAGTATTACCGGGCAGTAGGAGAATGCCACTGATTAAATAGGTACAGTATTTTACTGAGTTTCTTTAAATTATAACTAGAACAAATTATTTTGGTTCAAGAATGGTTCAAGACAATGTTTACCACAGTTACGAATAGGCTTTTAGAAAAATCATTGTTTTATTATTGACTGAAAATAATTACTGGTTTTAAAGCATGATTCATGCTGGAAATGTGCGTATATGTTGATTAAATGTTTTTATTAGCATAAAAATCATATTGATAATAGCATCGGTTTTAAACTCAATAAAAACTACAATTTTCACACGGCCCTACTACCTGTACTGTAGTTTCATATTAAATATCCCTATCGTGTTGTTTTAACTGAGGGTAAGTAAAAAAAATCGTGTTGAATATGACCCACTCAGTTTTGTATTAACTGTTTCCATAACTTCAATTTTCACTTACAGCGTTACCAAACGTTTACTGTAACAGTAATGCATCTTTGAATGTTAAATGAGAGACGCATAGTGATAGTTTATCAGTGCCAAGCAGTCTGCGGCTCGTGCACTCAAGGTCACTGATAGCGCATGTCACTTGAGATGTGACCTTGGCATTGCACCTCTGCAACTGATATAAGCTGCAGCGCCATACAACAACAACAACAACAACGCTCTGTTGTTGTAATGATTGTTGAACATGGCACTCAATATCTGCGATAGAGCATTAGACATTGGCATTGCACTTCTGCAACTGATATAAGCTGCAGCGCCATACAACAACAACAACACTCTGTTGTTGTAATGATTGTTGAACATGGCACTCAATATCTGCGATAGAGCATTAGACATTGGCATTGCACTTCTGCAACTGATATAAGCTGCAGCGCCATACAACAACAACAACACTCTGTTGTTGTAATGATTGTTGAACATGGCACTCAATATCTGTGATAGAGCATTAGACATTGGCATTGCACCTCTGCAACTGATATAAGCTGCAGCGCCATACAACAACAACAACAACGCTCTGTTGTTGTAATGATTGTTGAACATGGCACTCAATATCTGTGATAGAGCAACGGATAGAGCATTATACCTTGCCATTGCACCGCTTCACGTGCAGCTTAAATGCAGCAACAAGAGCGATGTGCTTCTGTTGTAATGATTGTTAAACATGGCACTAGCTCATGTGGCTGTAAATAAACCTGGACATTGAACCACCGCATTTCATTTTAGATGGACATACAACATACAACACAACAACAATGTTCTGTTGTGATTATTGTTTGAGATGTCTCTCAGCGCATGTCACGCCACCGGAATAGAATAGAATTGATAACGGTAAAAATGATCTTGAGATATTCATAATCTCAAGATCATTTTTTCCCATATCACCCTACTAGGATACTTTAAACTGTTTTTTGGACGTTATTTGATTAATCAAAAATAAGTGCGGCATTGCTTTAAGGCGAGGGGGTTTTTAATCTTGTTCCCCGTGATTCAAATCATTTCAAAATTTCTTATATCTCACCCACGAATCCTAGAAAAATACATCTCACCTATCCAAATACTTCAGCGTTTTATCACGATTTTCTGAAAGAACACCTAGTAATTGCGGTTTCCAACCACAGATTGAAGTCAATAACAAAATTGTATAGTTTTTGCCATAACTTGGAATTTATAACAGCCAAATACAGATCATTGCATTATTGGAGGTTCTTTATTCAATTTAGTTCGAGGTAGGATTTTAAATTGGTTTTAGCGAATTTCCCTATAGGGAAGTAGCTATTACCGTAGGTGGCACGGTAAGACCTAGACCCGGGACCGATTTACTTTTTCATTTTGATGTCCCCAGAGGCCAAAAACACCATTCGTTCAAATTTTTATATATGTATATATATATATATAGATTTATATATATATATATATATATATATATATATACGTCCGTGAACGCGATAACTTGAGTAATTTTTGTCCGATTTTGATGAAATTTGGTTTAAAGGTGTAAAGCGGGATAAACTTGAATGAGTTCGCAAACCAGCATGATCGGACCATGGGAACGGGGTTTTACGGGGGTTTTTATGGGGTAAAAATCGGTTTTTCTCACTCTTGACCCTCAAAACACAAAATTTCCCAATTTCTCTTTAGCCCTTTTTAAAGAGTTTAAAAAACAAATAATTTAGTGTGTAAAAGTATTTTTGTTCGGTTATTGGTAACAGAGAAAATTTAAGAAATTGTGAATTTAAAATTCCCATGTTATTCTTATGGAGAATATTGTCAAATGTTGTAGTTTGCTTGTTTATGGATATATTTTGATAAAACTTGGCAAAGTTATTTATTTTATACTAAGCTATCAACATTTTACTAAAAAACTCACTTTATTAGTTTCCTTGTAACAGCAAACCTAGGTACTCGTTAAACCTAATGTTATTAAAATATATTTAACTGAAAATCAATTCAGACAAATGGAAATTCGCTTAGTCGGCAGGTTTGCTGCGGCGGGGGTATTATATTTTTAGTGTGGTGAATACTATAACAGGGCTTGCAGCCTAGACGAAAGAGTTATACAGACAAGACCTCTCTACCTTTACAATACCTACCTCTACCTCTTCGTGACAACGCCTAGAAAGTTCTTGGTAAATAAAGTTTTCTGCCATTAGAACACGATACTTTAGCTAACATTTACATAAAGTATATTACATATTTTAAAACTAAACAACGATTTTGCACATCTTTGCTAATCATGAATATAGAAGAAATATTATCAATCTTTTATCTTAGTTTTTGTTTACATATCCAAGTTATGTTATTGCAGTATAACTAACTGATATAGCTTATCAGAATGTCATAATATCACCTCGAAACCCAAATTTGCGTAGATATATATATATATATATATATATGTGGTATCTCCGTGATCATATCAAAGTGAAGATACAATCATGACACCACTTCCGTCGGTGTCATTGATAAACCTCAATCCGTTATTATCTCTGAGATAAGAGATGAGCTGGTAAGTAGATAAGGGATGACAAGTGGGCAAATCTTTTGTTTGCGGTGACTTCATAAATCCCACATCCTATCGACACACACCGTGAAATATCAATTTGTATCACTGGGCGTGCAACCAAAGATAAAAGAACCGGTGTGCACGTATCTGTACATAAATTAACAGATGAAAGGAAACTGTTGTGTTCTTTATCATGCTAAATTTAAGTGTTCTGAGGCTTCATGCTTCAAGCAGTCTTTACATTATTGGTTTCAGTTTTTCATTTTTCAGTTTCAGTTTTTTTTTCAGTTTCATGGTTTCATTTTTTTGCACTTCCAAGACTCTTTGTGAGAAATCTAATGTTTGCCAAGATTTCCTGATGACCTAATGCAAAGATCCCCAGAGGACACCGAGAGATGGTTTGAGATAATTAGGATTGAGTAATAGCATCGACGTTTAATTTACTTGTTGGTAATAGATTAATACGTTGAGTTGGATTAGGGTTAAACGAGAGATCACCCCGTGGTCGAAAACTCGACCAAAAGTATGAATTGTGCAAACTTCTCTATTTTCAACCCACGCTGTAAATAAAACATGTTATTGGAATTTCTTTGGTTTGATTTTCTGTTTATATTTTGTTGTCATTTCGTCACCAACATGGCAACCCAGAAGGCCCATGTTATTTTTTGTTTAATTTAAAATCCATGTTTGTGCTTATTTTTAAGCCTATTTTAATTTATGAAGGGATTCTGCACATCTACGGGAAAATATCTTTCATTTGGTAGCGACCACGTGTAATTCGGTCCAGTAGTATGGTCAGACTAGTTGTCATAAGTTTTGCAAAAGTTTTTTAGTATATAAGATTAATTCCTTATTGATTTTGATGATACTAGGGGTTGCGCTGTCCGTGCTTCGCAACGAAGAGAGAATGCATAGAAGATGTGTATTTTGTTTTTCTTCACTGTATTATATTATGGCACACTTATATTATGGAATCTTATTATGTATAGAGATCTCAATTTTTTTATTTACAATCCTGGTTATTTGTCTGATCGCCGTCTTTCTTTTATTTTTTTGGTTATTTTATAATGAAGGAACCCCCCAAACAGGCTTTGCCTCGGGGGCCCTACATTTTCTCCCAATAAATTGCACAAAAAAAGAATTAAATTAAAATCATCTAGGTATAATTCTTATGTTTCTTTATTATGTTAATATTGTTGTGAATAAGCCAGTGTTTTTTTCCTCTTAGCCAGTCTGACACGTGGGACATTTAGTTTAAAAGAATATTATATCAATTTCTTTTTATTGTGTTGTGCATTGTAATTTTAATTATTGTAATACTTGTATTAATGGAAGAAAATAAATATTCTTATTCTTATACTG